AGCGTGTTTTACGTTGGGCGTACGAAATTCACGGCCACAGCTGTGTCCGGATCGCTCGTTACGACTGATGTGCCTTACACGGGAGACACTATTGCTGCTGCATCTCCGAAGGTTTATGTGTTCGACAATAGACTCCAGACGACGGAGGATTTAAGAAAAGTCGTTAAAGTTGGAGACGATCTGTGGCTTCCCTCGGTGTCGGCAGATATGAACAAGTACACTGTTACTGCCGTCGATAAGAGATTTTTAGAGGTTAGTGGAAGTTTTATGGATACCATTACGAGAACACTCGCGTACCACGTCTCTAACGGACGGAAGTGGAATTTAGTGTTTCGATCGTACGACGGAAGTCTGGATACTATTGATGCTATCCCAGAACATGATTGGAGAGGAACCGATGCTCGGATTGGTACGAGGAGCCCTAAAGCGGTGGCCCCAAATGTCATTAACGTTGGAAATCCAGCATCCACACAGACGATACTTCTGGAAGTCCTTGACACCTCAATAGCCACACCATATACGTTGAGCTTTGCAGGCGAAACAGTCTTGGATGCTGGTACAACTAACCCGAAAAATATTCCGTGGGCGACAATCAGCGATGACCTTAAGAACGCCCTTGAGACGTTGGACAGCGTGGATGGCGTTAGCGTTGCGTCTATTGTAAATGGTGGCACTGTAATCCACACCGTATCTTTTTGGGGGATGTATCCGATGAAGAAACTACCGCTACTTGTCGTCACTCCTGCCACACCCAACCTCAACGCGTATGTTCAAGGCAATAACGCTGTCGCAGTGACCAAACAAGACAATCTGATTCTAGAAAGCAGTCAAACGTACGCCTTCCGTATCTTCGCTCTGAACTCCAGAGGTATCAGCGACTCCGTATCAGTGTTCGAGGCTCAGACATCAGCAAGTTCCGTTGTCCCCTCCCCACCCACAGGTGTAGCGCTGGGTGAATTCCATGGACCCACGTGGCTGTCGATCAACTACTGGGCTCCGTTTTATTTTGGTGGTGCGAAAGTGACCATGTACCGTATCGAGTGGGATTCCTCACCCAACTTCGACAGCTCCAGCATCGATTACGGTGTGGCTAATATCCAAGAGAAAATCGAGGTACAACAAGTGACTACCAGCTATCGTAGCTCAGTCGGTGCTGGAGGGACATTCACGTTATCTTGGGGAGGACACATGACTTCGGTGTTGCCGTTTGACTGCAGCGTTGAAGCTATGACAGACGCACTGGCTGGTATCACGGACACAGTGAACGTTGCTGTCGATCCGGTTAAAGTTACGCGAGCACGAGTATCGTGGGGGTATAGTTGGAAGATAACCTTTTTACATAACCCTGGTGACTTAGCTCTACTGGTTGCGGATGGAACTCAATTAACGGGTGATTTCCCTCAAATAAGGGTAGTTGAGGTTGTTCAAGGCTTCCAAGATCTGACTATTGGTGACTTTACTCGCGAAATCCAGGAAGTGTTTACGGATGGTGTATCACCCGTAACTGGTTCGTTTACGCTGATTTTTAACGGTAAAACTACGGCATCAATCGACGTTAAAGCGTCGGCATTAGAGATGCAAGAAGCGTTACAGGAGATCACCTCAACATACTCTATTAAAGTATCCAAAGCGGTGCGAAACTCTGCTGTTCATACTGCGGTATGGACTGTCACGTTCGCATATCTTCGAGGCGAGGAAATGGTTGGAGCTGGCAATATATTCACCATGACGGTGGCAGATTCCCAGTTATCGGGCACAAGCGCAGTCGTACAAGTTGCGAATAAAGTGATAGGGTCCGACCCTTTCCGGTTTACTCTAACTGGTCTTCGTCCAGGCGTAAGATACTACGCACATGTGATGGCGTACAATGCCGATGGCTTCGGGTCTGCTACGTCTCCGCTTGCTAGCGCTGTAACTTGCTGGCAACCACAGCCACCACAGTCCGTAACAGCCAGTGTAGTTGACGGAACAACACTAGCTGTAAGCTGGAGTGCAGTGGAGGAGTCGTGTAGTGTGGACAAGTACAAAGTCGAGTGGTATCGAGCAGAAGGAACGCAGGAGCAGCAAACCATCACGACATCGGCGGGTAAAGGTCTTCCCGATATTCAAAAACTAGTGAATTTTGCGGATTCCCGAACTCTAACGGGCTATTTCAAGTTATCTTTTGGCGGAGAGGTGACGGAGAACCTCCGATGGGATGCAGAAGCTACAGGTTTAAACTCGGTTAAGGAGCGATTAGAGCGTTTATCGACTATAGGGACAGTGGATGTCTCGAGACAGGAGTCTACTCGTGTAACGGGGTTATTTGTAACTGTAACGGGGAAGACTGTAACGCGTCATACCATGTCCACGTCTGCAATAGCGGATACCAAGCTGGCAAAGGACGATGTTATCTGGATTGCGGGTAACGAGCGTACAATTACTGCTGTACCCACAGCGACGACTCTCACGATTGATACCGATCTCGAAGTTACAGTACCTGTACCTGTATTTAAAAGTGCGTACGGTTACGAGTGGAAAATCACCTTCTTAGCAGGTCATGTGGGACCGCAAGACCTCATCCAGGTTTACCCGAGTGACAGTTGGACCGGAAATAATCCCGGTATCGTTGTAAACTCGGTTCAAAAAGGTCTTCAGCCGATTAGTGGGACGTTTATAGTCGCCTTTGCTAGTGGAGGACTGTCGGATTCTACGCCGCCTTTACCTCACAATATTTCAGCAGTCGATATGCAGACTGCGTTAGAGAGTTTGGTTACGATTGGCGCTGTGAACGTAACCAGATCGGCGAATGGTTACGGATACAACTGGGTAGTTACGTTTGTATCGGAGTTTAAGAACGATATCTCGCTGTTAAGTGTTGATGGAACAGAACTCCAAGGCCCTGGTGCACGTGCACTATCAGCACGGACACTTGCGGGCACTCAACCTACGTTTTACTGCGAACGGGACGGAATAGCGGGCTTTTCTGCTGAAATCGGAGTACCAGGGCAGTTACGATATGTTATTCAGGGCTTAAAAACGGGTACAAAATATGCTATCCGAGTACGAGCCCACAACAACGAAGGGTACGGATACGCAGCCAGTATTGTCTCTGGGTTTCAGATTCCGAGAACTACACCGTCTACGCCTCAAAATTTGGAGTTGTTGATACTATCCAGCAAATATCTAAAGCTTCGGTGGAGTGCTCCGTTAAATGATGGGGGTACAGCTATTCTAGGCTACCGACTTCAATGGGATACGGCGGGTACGTTTCCTAACGTGAATACCCCTAATTACGACTTTCAAACGGTGTATGAAGTGAACTCTACGGATCCTGGTCCGTACTTTTACAACATTTTTACGCCAATAGTTACGACGTACTATGTGCGCGTACTGGCTTTGAATGACCAAGGCGATGGTCCATATGCAGTTCCTGTTCCAAAATATGCACGACCCACCGATCGTACACCTGGTCGACCAGAAGATGCGACCGCCACAGCGCTTTCTAGCTACGCTATCTTAGTGGAGTGGAACGCTTCTTCTACTGACAGGTTTTACTATGGAGGCGATGGTGGACTCTCAATCACTCAGTATATGATCGAGTGGGATCTCTCTCCATCGTTTGATTCGCCCGCTGCGTTTGGACTGGTAGATGGCACTAAACGGTCTTTTATTATCGGCGGAGACGACGCTATCACCGGCGTTCGATCCGATATTTTGATTGCTGGTTCGTCTTACAGTATTCGAGTTACGGCGTTCAACGCTAAAGGCTCTGGACCTCCTCGAGCTACAGTTCCGTCCTCTGTCGTTGTCACTAATCAACCGCCTAGTGCACCACAGAATCTAACGCTCAGTGTTGCGTCAGCGACGTCGGTTAAAGCTGAGTGGACGAATCCATTGTTTGATGGCGGGTCGAGCTTGAAATCGTACCAGATTGAGTGGGATGAACAGGAGGATTTCAGTAGTGGACAGACATCCAGTGTGACGATCCCTATTGTTCGGGAAATGCAGAGTATGGTTTTACAAAGCGAGGTGGTGAATGAAGAGCAATTCGTGGATGTTACAGTGGAAGTAGTGAACGAACAGCAAGAAGTTCGCAGCACTTTCACTGGTTTGGATGAGGTTCAAGTGATTAAAACAACAAATGATATTGTGAAAGATGAAGTTCAAAAAGTGATGACGTCCGCTACGGATGGGAACGAAATCCAGGAGTTACGGTTAGATGACGATGATGTTAATGAGATCCAGGGGATTCGAACGACAGTTACTGAAGGATCTGAAGTTCATGACGTGAAAATTGGGGTCGAAAGGGTTAGTGAAGTGCAGAGTCTTACGCTGTTTTTTACGGGGGGAGTTGGGAATTTGGGGTCGATTGGAGGCACATTTTATCTCACATTTGACACTACGGTCTGTACTTATTGTCTGATGACTAAAAAGCACAGTGTCGACACTGTTGATCTCGTAGTCTCCTCTCTTCAAGATGATAACGATGTTAGGGCAGCAGCTTTCGTGAAAACTGAATTAGAGCGCCTGGATAATATTGATACAGTGGATGTGAGCCGTACTAGCACCAAATCGGGCGCTGGATTAACGGGGGACGATCTAACTTACGTGTACTTGGTCACCTTTACCGGTAATGATGTCGGTGGAGACGTGCCAATGCTTATTGTTGGTGGTACTCTAACTTTTAGTGGCAATACAGTAACGCCCACTGTGAACCAAGAAACCCAGGGAAACGAACCCTATTACGACTCTAACGCCAACTCCGTCTTCTCCCTTACCTACACGTGTGAATCATACTCAGATCCAAGTGCAGACTCAACGTTTAGTACCGAGTGTACACCATCCGTCAAGTTATGTGATGCTTGCGTTACAGATTTTGATGGCTCTAAATTTACAGTATCCGCTGACGTAAGCGGCCAAGTCTCTAAAGGAACCAACTTATTTGCAGGCGTTTGTTCCTTTGAAGTAGATTCAAGATCCGTAACGTCGGGAATTACAACAATCGTTATTGATACCAACGATCCTGGCGCTCTATGCAGTCGATTTTCTGGTGCGTCATTTTCACTATTTGAGGCCCCACAGATAACAGTCTCAAATATCCCGGTCAAAACCTCAGCAGCTGTGGTTGTGGATGCTAGTGACGTCCAAAGTGCATTGAATGTTCCTGATCTCATTGGTGCAATGACAGTTGAGCACAATCTTTTCGTTGATTCGAGTTTTGTTGGAGCGGTTTACTCTGTAACTTTCACGACACGGACGGGAAAAATACCGTTGTTAGAGTGTGTCAAGACGGGAATTGTTCCCATTCAAACTGGTAAAGGTGTGGAGTGTTCAGTAACGCGAAAAACCACCGGTAGTATGCTGACTGGAACGTTTAAAATTGGTCTAATTAGTCAGGATGATACGGATCCGACGGATGCTAATGCTGTTTATATTCCTACTGCATACACTACGGACATTCCGTGGGATGCTACTGAAGCTGTAGTGAAAGACGCGTTGGAAAAGGTGGATACTCTAACGGGAAAGCTGATTTTTGGACAAGTTAAAGTGAAGAGAACGCTGTATTCTACCACCGCCGATAAATGGTCCGGTGGATTTTCGTGGCAGATTACGTTTCTGACTCGAGGATGGGATATCCCAACGCTTACCATAGATAAAACTGGGTTTTCAACTTCAAGAAGTAACAACCCAGCAGCTCAAGTAATTGTTGGAGATGCAGCACATCCACTCTTAAATCCGAGTGTGCTATGCAGAGAAGGCAATCAAGTAGGTGGGGATATGATCTTTACATTTGGCTCGGCAGTCACTAAAACGTGCACGATTGGAGTGGATACTTCGTTGGATACTCTGGATACAAGCGTGACAGATACCAAGTTCCAGGATTTTTTCAAAAACAGCCTTAACGTTCCAACAATTAGCATTAAACGATCAGCAGCTACACAGGCACGAGGGTTTACTTGGACCATTACATTTATCGACGACAGTACACCAGGTGATGTCCCGGATCTGTATCTAACGACGCAGCTTACGTCCACCACTGGCAGCAATAACGGTCGCACTAGTGTAGTCGAAACTTTAAAGGGGAACGAGCTTACGGGAGCTTTCCAACTGGTCTTTAATAGTGAAACTACGGGACCGATTATGGCCGGAGCGGACGAATCTGCCATGCAAGCTCAGCTCAATAGTTTACGTACCATTAAACCGAGTAGTGTTATCGTCAAGAGAACGTTAACCAATCCGCAGGTGAAAGGTTATACCTGGTTAATAACCTTCCGTTCTTCGGTATGGACGGATCCAACCATTGATCACTCCGCGGGTATTGACGGTAATTGGAAAGGATCTGCAGCTGCGTGGGATGACGTGTGGGAATCTGGATACTCTAAAGCGTGGGGACGTCAAGTCGGGCATACTTTCCTGTTAGGGTGTGACAAGAGTAGTCTTGTTACCACCACCAATGATAAGACTCAAACCTGCGATACAGGAGTCGTTAGTGCAGGCGTTGGACCTCTTGGTGGAACGTTTTCCATTGAATTAGACTCGAGGCATTCGCCCCACATGGCGATCCAATCCTTGGAAACAAGTGACCCAATCGCTCATAATGCATTTGCCACCAAAGAAGAAAGTGGAAATTCGGGAACATCGGTCGAAGAAATTCTCGAAAAAATGGCAAATGTTGGCGACGTTGAGGTGTCGAGAAGTGTGGTGGATAGAGATACGGGAGGGTATGAGTGGACTGTAACGTTTCTTAGAGATGCCAGTACTCCCTCTAAGCCTTGCGAACAGCTGGAAACTCTAACGGACGGAACGAAAGTATGTAATTCCCCTGGTGATATCCCGCAGATGGCAACTATAGTAACGGATTTGAAAGGATCGAATAATCACGCTACCGTTACGACAGTCCAAGATGGAGCAATTTTACGGGGTGATTTTACAGATTTTAAAGTCCAGGGTGATGCAGGAGTCGATAAACGGTATACTGTAACAGTAAGCTGTGCTAATACAGTAGCGTCGAATCTGCCGTGTACCGTAACGACATTTACGATAGCGTCTGGAGCTAGTACTATACGAACGAGTCTGATGGCAAAAGACCGGTTTATCGTGGATGGAATTACAAGCTGTGTCTTTACGGTGGTGGATTTCGATGCTGCCACACCTCCAACAAAGATTAACGTTAAGTCGTTAGACTGTAACGCTCTAAATTCCGGAAATACCGTAACGCCACTGGGTGTATCCATCCTTATCCCGTGGAATGGTGACGAAAATGTGATCAAGCGTGTACTTGAAGCAGCATCTACTACCACCGGACGCAAGGTTAGTGTTGAGAAGACTGTACACGGGAAATACGGTGAGATGTCGTGGCTTGTGCAATTTATCTCTAACCCGACGTACACGCCACTGGGGGCGGGTAATTTACCTAAAATTACCGCTACTTTTGAGTCTGAGACTGTATTGAACTCAAATCCGATCAATGTAGACGAGATCACGCCTGGATCAGAAGGACTCAGTGGATCGTTCTTTATGGATTTTCACTCTTCGTTTGGTCCTCGAGAAATGGCGTTCAACGAGGACGCAGTTCGATTGGAGAAAAAGCTAAACGAAATGGATACTATCGGTAGAGTATCCGTAGAGCGATTCGAGTATCCTTCTACCGCTACAGGATGTACAGATTCCTTATGTTCCGGTGGCTGGGAAGACCAACCTGTTCTCAATCCAGGCACCCGAGGAGGGTATCGGTGGCGAATCCGATTTTTACGTGTAACCGGAGAGTATGAAGGCGTAACTTTCCCACCCGGTAGTGGTAACTTGGGGGAGTTTACAGTGGACTACGCGACGTCTCTTAATGGGAAAGACAGGTCTGTAATAGTGTACACAGATACAGCAGGTTCAGCTCCGATACTGGGGAGCTTTATGCTCAGTACTCCCAGCGCCCAAACACCGTCACTACTGTATTCTTCGTCGGCTGAAGCTGTGAAACAAGGAATAGAAGCCATGGATTTATTCGGAGAAGTGGACGTTTCTCAAGGATTTTTGTTGACTCAGAAGATTCCAGGTATTAAAGCAAAGGTTTCGCGAGACACTCTTACTGCTACGGTAACTGGCGTTGAAGATATTCGTCAGTTTATCTCTCCGACGGATATTATCCGCTTCGGGTCTTCAGTGGATAATCTGGTTGGATCCAACGGGAACACACCGTTTACTGGCTCCAAACAGACTTCGATGGTGACTGTGGGTGCGCTATCTCCGATTGTGACAGCACTAGAGGCTTCCGCTACGAAGTTACTGTATCCTGGAATGCAGCTCCGTATCGATGGCTTACCGTACGAAGTTCAGCGTTCCGGACACGAAATCCAAACGATTACGGTGTCGATCCCTAAAGGTGCCAGTCAAAGTGTGGATTACTACGCTCTTACACTTTCTAGAGCGGGAGTAATTTACGGTCCAACGGCCTGCTTCTCGGTTAGCGCCACTGCTGACAGCTTACAGACGTCGTTACTGCAATTGATTCGTGGGATTAGTGCACTGGCACCGGCAGATTCTGTGCTGGTATCTCGCTCTGCTCCTGTCGTTACAGCAACGACGACGGGATACGTGTACTCTGTTTACTTCTTTGGAGATGTAGTGGCTGGAGACGTTGCTAAATTACAGACAACATCGACAGGTTTTACGGGGGTCTGTATCGGTATTACTGGATCTACCGTTACCGTTAGTGTAGCAACACAAGGAGGTAATCTGCCTCATCAGCGTTTGTCGCTAGCTACTGATTCCGGCCAAGTTATCGACTCCAGCGGATACTTTAAAATGTCCCTTAACGGGAAAGATACTGATTGCATGCTCTGGGGTGCGACTGCAAGCGATCTTGAGGATGCTCTTGAGAATAAATTAAATACCGGTAAAGTTATCGTTACGAGACGTGGAGGAGGCATCTCCCAGACCGAGATCCAACGTCTGCGCATGACTGCTGATGCTGAGGTCACATCAGACAGTACGGGGTTGTTCCAGCTACAATTTACGTATGCTGGCGTGACTACTGCTACAAACTGTATTAGTTACGGTGTGTCAGCTGTAAACTTACAGAAAGCGCTCAATGGCTTGAGTAATTTGGATTTTGTCGTCGATCATATCAACGTTACGCGTGAAGGAGATGGCTCGTCGACTTGGGGGTTTGGTTACGAATATCTGATCAATTTTCGAGGTCCTGTAACAGGTGGATACAGTCCCGTAATTGGCGATGTACCGTTACTGGAGATTGTCAATGTAGGGCAGAATTTATGCTCCTCAACCGCGGTTGGTGGCCATCCAGCGTTAATCATTGAAACAGTACGAGACGGATCGCCTGGATATATCTACGATATATTCTTCATGGATTATACAGAGACAGCGATGGTACCAACGATCTGGTTGCAGCACGAAGCTCAAGGTTCAGTGTGTAAAACTGGCTGGGTTCAGAATGGAGGGAGCGTTCGCCGCGCTTATTTGGAGACGGTCGATTATGGTGGCAGTAGCGAAGTTCAAGGATTGACTATCCCTAACAAAAACGCAGCGGGTAAATTCCTGTTGACTTTCGCTGGTCAAACGACGTCCTGTATCGCTTACAGTGCAAGCGCTTCGGCAGTGGCAGACGCTCTAAATTTACTGAGTACAATTGGTGGAGGGGTGTCAGTATCCAGAGATACAGATGTGAAGGAGGCGCCGAATGGATTTATTCACAGAATCACTTTTAGTGGAGATCTTGTTACGGGAAATGTCCCTCTGTTAAGTGTACAAGAAGCTACGAGTGCGTGTCTTAGCCCACAACCAACCACGAAAGCTGAGGTTACGGTGGATACAGAGGGAGGGCAGAACTCGGGCCAGTTTGCTCTAACCAGTTACTATAATGGAGAGGCCTCTGAAGTGTCTCATGTTGCTTACGGTATATCGCAGCAGTTTAGCGTCATGAGCGAGCAATTTGAAGTCCAACAAGTGGTCATTTCGAATGATGCCAATGATATTGGACTCGGTGCGACGTATAAACTTACGTTAAAGAGCCAAACGACCGCTGCAATTCCATGGGACGCGTCTGAGAGTGCATTAGCGGAAGCGCTAACTGTAACAGGCGTTAGTGCTGGAGATATTATGGTGACTCGACGATCGGATTCCTCTGACGGGTTTGTGTACTCTATCTACTTCAGTGGATTATCCGTGACTGGAGATTTAGATACACTTGTGTTCGGAAGTTTAACAAGCTTTGGGACTGGTAAAGTACTCGTATCTACTATCCGGGATGGTACGAATGGGGCATCATCGTTTACCCCCGATACAATACCATTGGCTAAAGCGGATAATCCGGATATCCCATCGTCATATCTGGCCAGCGCTTCGAGTCTCGACGTCTTTAAAGTGGACGGGTTACTGTGGACGATCAAGTTTAAATCTTCTCTTGGAAATATCCCGAAACTCGGCAAGCAAACGAAGGCATTATCTGCAGGAACGTTGCAGATTTTTGATGATTTTATCCAAGGATCTGCGTCCAACTCTTACGTGATTCCGAATCTTCTCGCTGGGATAAATTACTACATTCACGTGGCAGCGATGACAGATATCGGCACTGGTCTCTTCTCAGCCACTGGCGCTATCATGCCAAGCGGTACAGCGTCAGCAGTGCAGAATATCCGTGCAGGATACGCCATTTACGAGCGTGACGTTCAGGAGATACGCCTCGCAGCAACTCACGTATCGGAGGTCCAAGAGATTACCACGGAAGCTGCTAGTATTGCAGAGGTTCAAACGCTACGAACGTACGCTTCGTCGTGTCCTTCTGGATCTTGTATCAAAGGATCTTTCGCCTTCCGTGTGCCCACGGTGCAAACCGTAACTATATCAGCTGAAGCTCCCATTTTATCTGGAACTTTTACACTACTTTTCACACGAGAAGTGAAAGATTCAACGAATTTGGGGTCATTTAAGACAATAGGAGCGAAAACTGGGGCGATCTTGTGGAACGCAGACGCTAGTACTGTAAAGAACGCGTTGGTTACAGTAGTAAATGGAGCTCTAACCACGAATGATATCGTAGTTACACGGGACGGAGACGCCTCGGAGGAGTTCGGTTATGGATACGTATTCCAGATCACATTTGTTGGTAACAGTGTCGCTGGAGAGACGAAGAAAATTGATTGTGCAGATAAAACATTTGTGACTACGGGTAATGTACCTTCAAGCTGTGGGGTTACTATGGATACAGATATTGCGATGGGTACAGATACTGCTGTACAGCAAGTGATAGTGACAGCCAAGAAACCTTTAGTCGCGGGGTCGTACAGTCTTCGGTTTACGTATCTTGGAGCGACGAAGACTTCGAGTTGTATCCCTTTTGATGCATCCGCTAATATCATGGATATTACGCTCGAAGCTATGGATAATATCGACAAGGTGTATGTCACCCGAGAGCGGGACAGTACTATCGTGCCAAATGGATTTATTTACCGGATTTTCTTCCACGGTAACGGTGTGTATGGGGATGTGGATAAGCTCGACTATGTCATGTGTACAAATTTTCAAACTCAAGAGAAAAATGCTCTTACGACCGTCGGAGTAGACGGACAAGTGCTGATTTCGATGGCGAATTATGGTGGATTTAATCCGCTTAACACATTTGTGAGCGCTGCATCAGCTACGGCAGCTCAACTTACGACCGATCTCGCCCAATTACCAGTGTTTGGAGACGTATTAGTCTCTCAGTCGCTTGTAGACGAACAAGGTGGCTACATTTGGACGGTGGCATTCAAAGATTCTGAAGGGAATCTACCACAGTTTATCTGCGCTGTGGATCCTACATTTAAATCTGCAGCAGGTGCCGGATGCGAGACAGATACTCTGACGGATGGCAACGTTTTAAGCGGTAGTTTCCTCATCGAAGCGAGCTCTCCGATCCCGTTTAATGCTGACGCAGGGACGATGAAAGCAGCACTGGAAGCCATGGCGTGGGTGGGTACAGTGCAAGTCAAGCAGTCGGCTGCATCTCCTCAGCGAGGGTACACTTGGACGATAACCTTTCTGGATTATCGTGGAGATGTACCCACTTTACTCGTTACAAGTTCATTGGTGGGGACAGGAAGCCAGATTTCTGTACGAGAAGTTCGAAAGGGTAATGCCCTGAGTGGTACATTTTCTGTATCGTACAAGAACTCGGAGACTGCGGCAATTAACTGGGATGCAGTCGCCAAGACAGCGGCTAAACCAGATGGTTCGTCTGTGCAGGAGAAAATCCAAGCTCTAGATGCTGTTGGTCAGGTTGATGTTGAACGGTCAGGTCCGGATTCTGAAGGAGGATACACGTGGCGGGTGACATTTCTGGATAATATCCAAAATTCGGGAGATTTACCGCTTCTTCAAGGAAATGCAAGTGGATTAACTGGGGAAGGAGCTGTTGTGTTTACTAGGGAAGTTACAAAAGGCTCTAATGCTGTTGGAGATCAGTTGTGGCTCTCGTTCGACCCGCCAGCGACAGATAATGGCAGTCCGATCACTAAATACCAGGTTCGATGGGACACATCCGACAAGTTCACAGCGAATCCGGCGGATGTTTTCATCTCGGACGCAGATAAACTGTACAGAACTCAACGGATCACCACAAGCGCTTCCAGTCTCGCGTGGTCGAACAACATGATCCGATCGGTAGATGAAATCCAGAAGGTCAAGATTCTCACGACGGGGACATTTACCTTGTCGTTCCGTGGTGCAACCACTGGGACGTTTACAGCAGTAGCAGCAGGGATAACAGCAGGAACCACGACGATTGCTGGCTTGAAGTCGGCACTGGAAGCTCTTTCTAGTGTCGGATCCGTCGATGTATCTTCAGCCAAGACAGTGCTGGAAGTGGGAGCTGAAGTCTTGATCACATTTACAGCACAACCAGGTGACCTTCCACTACTAAATCCGAGTAATGGCGTGGCTTCGGTAGAAGAAATCCACACTGGAGAGACGAATTTCCGTAAAGAAGTGGTCGTTTTCTCGTGTACGGCGACTCAGGGAACGGTTCGGTTCACGTATAATGGGGACAACGCTGACGTGAACTTTAACGCGCCACTGATTACAGTCGAGACGAGTTTGTCGACTCTATTCGACGTCGAAGCGGAGAGTATCAGTGTGTCGAGTGCGACGCAGTTGGTGCTGTGTAAATCTGCTACGCCGGCAGATGTCAAGATTGTGTTTGATAGGGTATATGGAGATATTACTCTATCTATCGATAAGGGTATTGACGCTGGAGCTGATGCTGTAATTGTGTTCAATATGGACACTTCTATCGACGGAGTGTATAACGACGACCCCGCACTTACCATGAGTGGAACCTTCCAGGTTGGATACCAAAATCAATACACTCGCCCTCTAAACGCCGAGTCGAGTGCGGATCAATTACGGTACGCACTTGAAGACCTCGACTCGATTCAAACTGTTAGTGTCAAGCGGGAACTATCGTACCAGTCTCTACCTGGTAAAGTTGATGTGACGGAGGGAGAGATTTTCGTGACGTGTAGTACTGGGGAGACTTGCAGCTTTTATTCGGCCGCGTATGGACTTCCAGGGTATAAGATTCGCATTGGTGGAGACTGGTACACTGTTCGTACAGATGTGAGTTCTCCAGGGCTACACAAGACCCGGCTGTATCTTGGTGACTTCAATGGTCGAGAAATAGGGTATCTAGGTTCGACTGAGATTGCAGTTACGGTGTATGAGTGGACGAAGGGTTATGTTTGGACTGTGGATATGCTAAGCGTGGTGTCACCACTTGGATATTTGCGTGCGAAGGTTCCTCGATTGCATCCTACTGACTCTACAGTAAGAATATCGGGTAGTGGCTGTGATAAATGCTACTATCTACCAACACAAACATCTAAGAAACTCATCACTGGTCAGCAATACTTTATCGAAGTGTATGCGTACAATTTCAATGGTAAAGGCAGTCCACCTACTTCTACCATTGCTACACCGAGGAAAGTACCCGACGCGCCTTCGAATGTGGATCTCGTGGTAGTATCTGGAAAAGAAATTGAAGTTTTCTTCTCCCCTCTAAACTTGGGAGACAATATGAGTCCAGAGTTCAACAAGGATATCTCGTCGTACATTGTACAGTGGGACGTCGACTTGACCTTCAAACACGGTCTTCCGGTCTGTAACGCATGTGCGAGAGCGCTAACAGGGATTTTTCTAACTGTCACGACTCCACTCGCGGATACTTTACCGGAAAATTCCAAATTTATGGTTAAAGAACTGGGCTGTACAATGGAAGTTGTGAAGGTTGTGAGTGCTACAGTGGTGCAAGTTGTTGGTGGACATAGCTGTGAGAGCTTTAACACCCGCTCGTACTCCCTAACGTACTACACTTACCCACCGGCTACCGTATCTGGCGCTCTAATTCAAGCGCCACCGCCGTTCCGGTATTTAATCTCGAACCTTATCATCGGCACTAAATACTTTGTGCGCGTTGCGGCTGTAAACTCGGTACCTGTCCAACAAATCGCGCTAAATGGAAACCCTCCAGACAATCGACAATGGAGCTCACCTTTATCTGTAACGACGAAAGATAGAGCACCTGATGCACCCTTATCGGTCGCGCTGTATCCCTATTCCGGTACTATACTCCAGTTACAGATTCAGCCTTCTACACGCGATGGAAAAGGAACTGGAGGCTTAGCAATCACTGCGTTCTGGATCGACATTGACACAGTGTCGACGTTTGACTCAGTTACGAAGAGTAACCCTATAGAGATCGTAAACACTACTCTAGCCATCCCAGAATTGTATTCTGGCGGCCCCCGTATTTACTATCTTACGGGACTTACGACAGGGACACACTATTTCGTTCAGGTTAAAATCAAAAACGCTATCGGATACAGTCGAGCAACGCTCGCTCCAGCTCCTGTGGCTCCAACCCGTCATTCCGATGGACCAGTAAACGCAAAGATTACTACTACTCTAACTATATCTTCGACTCCAATCGACTCAGCGACTGTAACGTGGCAGAAACCTGTTTTCAACGGCGGAATCGGACTTACAAGTTACAAAATCGAGTGGTGGCGTGCTCTTTCTAGACCGGAAGTACAGGTAGTCGAGCTGAAATGGGTCACTTCGCCCACATCTGCTCCTTTTGCGCTATCATTTCGAGGTGGAAAAACTGAATATATGGATAAAGATGTGTCAGCGGAGAATTTACGGAGTGCTCTAATGAATATCGCGGTAGGAGCGTCGCTAACTATGGGTCATGTGGAGGTCTCCCGCTCTACGATAAGCAACAATCTCGGGTACCAGTGGACTGTGACGTTTGCTAACGATTTGAACGCTGGAGATCAGCCCTTGCTGCAATTAGAGATCGGAAATGTAGTGGGCAGTAACGACGCTACGGGGCGAGTATTCGAGCTTACGTCAGGTATCGCGGTACCCGTATTGTCGACATTCCCAGGGAAGCCAGAGGTGCAAGTTTTGGTGTCTTACCACGCAACGACAACCGTAGGAGGATACTTTCGACTCGGTTACAAGGGATCAGCATGGACCAATTACCTCCCCGCAAGTATTAGTGCAAATAATCTGAAACTCGCGCTCGAAAATCTGCCCACTATCGGTGTTGTGAACGTGGAAATCGAGTCAATGGCATCAGCTGGTCACGCTTTTACGTTTGGTCAAGTGTGGACGATCACGTTTATCTCCAACGTCGGGAACTTACCTCCCTTAACGGTAGAACCGTCCAAACTCACACCATTTGACGCATTTTTGGGAGTAAAAGACGGCGACAATGCGGTTGATAGTAACGGAGTGCTGTGTCTACCTGGCAGTGATGTTTCATGTCCTGGATCGTGGCCTGTTACCCTGGGAGCCTTAAGACAGCAAGCTGCACCCCAAAAGCCCATCGTAGAACTCGCTACACCTGGTGAAGCTGCAGTAGACTACGCGCTCTACGAAACTGTAAGCGCAGCTACTCTAACCTACACGATACCAAACTTGATACCAGGTCAAGCGTATTTCGTCTCTGTAACAGCTAAAAATCCACTTGGACCGGGACTCCGCTCTCAAACGTCCCCTACGAGTGTCATTCCTCCGCTTCAAGTACCCGGCCCACCCACAAGTGTGTCTGTGGATGTAAACCCTGGCGTTGCGACTCAACTCTTAGCATCGTGGAATGCACCCTCCAGTGACGGAGGCAGTGCAGTGCGTATGTACCGTATAGAGTACGATCCGTCCCCACTATTCACGAACCGAGGCCAGCAAGATGCCTGGTGTCCAGTTGCACCCACGTACGCAGTATGGAAAGTCCAAAGCGTGCGTACAAGTTCTGCTGTAGCCACTTCTACCATCGCTAATGGCTACTTCCAGCTCCAGCTCACGCGACTCAACGCTGTTACTCTATCGGATCCTATTCCCTGGAACGCTGTGGCTACCGCACGAGAAGAAGTCGGATCAAATACGGTGTCAAACTCTAAAGTATTCTGCACAATTACCAGTCCAACCTGCACCAGTATGGCCAATTTCCCATTTGGAAGACTGCAACTCTCCGGTTCAATGCAGTCTAAGCTCAACTACTTATCGCAAATTACGAACGGAGTGGATGTTCAGCGTACAGCTCAAGCAGCAGACGGAGGGTACACGTGGTCGATTACGTTCTTGGATTCAGGGGACAGTTTTGCACTGGCTGCAAAAAATGTACGACTTACGTGTGCGGACCCGAATGTATGTACGACCGCTACGTATGATGTGATTGTGACGAAAGTACGAGCTGGAGTCATGCCTCTAAGCTGCGTAGGCAGTCGTATTGTGCCGTCTATTGGTGCGTTGAATAAGGGGCAACTCTATAACATTAGGGTGTCGGCCTATAACGAGGTTGGCTTCGGTAAACCTGCGGTAGCTCCGAACCCACAGAAACCGATGGTAGTCCCTGGCCCTCCGACGGCTGTGACGCTCGCTGTGTATTCAGTGTCGGAGCTTGTGCTGCTCTTCAGTCCACCGGACGATAACGGTGGAGATACAGTCACTGCTTATGAGATACAGTATTCGTTGGATAGTAACTTCGGGACCTCAAGTTCAGAGGTTGTGGCGATCATTACGGGCATGAGTGCGCCGTATCGACGCGTCATTTCTACTCTAACTAAAGGTACACCGTATTTCTTCCGTATTCGAGCAAGAAATTCACAAGGTTACGGACAGTTCCAGCGCTCTGTACCGCCGAAAATGCAGCCGTACACGACACCCAGTGCACCTACCCAGGTGGTTTTGGGCATTACAAGTTCGACGATGCTTACAGTGCGTTGGGCGCCTCCAAGTGACGACGGAGGCGACACGATCTCGGCGTATGTGGTGCAATGGGACGTTGCGGCTGGATTCGACTCGTTAGCGCTAACAATGGGCACAACGGTAACTGTGGCTGACCCAGCACAGCGGTCGTACACAATTACGGGACTTACACCAGCCACGATCTATTACGTCCGGGTGTTTGCTACCAACCGTGGTGGTCTGGGTACTCCACAGACGTCTACACCCGCTTCACTTGTACCAGCAGTGACGTTCCCAGGCAAGCCACATACGCTAACTGTCGTGCCTACCCTTGTGCCAGGCGAGCTCCGTGTTTCATGGCTACCACCCGTTATCCCGTATCATGGTTATCCGTGTGCGGGTACACTACAATCACCAGGAAATTGTCCCGCTATCGGGGGACTGAGTATGGCTTACGGTGGCGTCGACCTGGACAGATACGTGATTCAATACTCCGAACAGAGCGATTTCTCGACTCCAATAGAGACTACGACGCCGTCCTCAGTTGTCACGGTGTTACTTACTGGATTGGTGTCTGGGAAAACCTACTACGTACAAGTTTTGGCCCAGAATTCACAAGGACGCAGCTATTTCTGTAAACGTGCGAACACTCAAAGTCTGCTCTGTCCAGACCAACAAGGTTTACTAGACGGCACAGTCGTCACGGGACCCTACGTCTACGCTGCGCCACTGTAGGCTGTTGTAGTCTCATCATCATATAACATTCACAGAACACAGCATATTTCTAAGAAAAAAAATGTCGATTCTTGTTAATTCTACTTTGGTGCAGCGAAGACAAAGTCTCCCGTGACTACACTGCCATCCTCCAGTACCAAATGACCCGGACATAGCAGTCCTTGAGCGTTTGCACGCATGCAAAAGTCGCTGTTGAGTCCTTGACTATTCACCGTAAGAACCCTAACATAGTAGGTTTTCCCACTTTCAAGTCCCGAAATCATCGCCGACGTGGTCGTAACACTGACCTCTTTCGCCAAAGAGAAGTCACTCGAATCCGCATACTGCACCATATAGCTCTCCAAACTAACACCTCCAAAGACCATGTCTAGGCCACCTAAAACGGGGCAACTTTGAGGCGCTTGCAACGTCCCGGCACACGGAATCCCATGCGCTGGAACACGCGGAGGTTGCCACACAACTTGGAGTTGACCGACGGTAGTAGTAGGAGCAGCAGCCAACGAGTTTGGCTTACCCGGACGCGTTGTAGCAGGTACGATTGAGGCCGGAGTCGACGACTGGGGGGGACCTTTACCCCCTAAATTCTTAGCGAAAATTCGGACGTAGTAGCGCGTTCCAGGCGTTAACAGCGTGATGGTATATGCACGTTGGGTCGCGTCATTGATCACTGCAGTGGTGCTTCCGGTGGCTAGAGAATCAAAGGTAGAGACCACATCCCATTGTACGATGTACCCCGACACCGAGTCTCCACCATCGTCTATAGGTGGGGCCCACCCCACCGTTAACATGGTCGAGCTGGTGATCCCTAATACAACTTGAGTCGGTGAGCTTGGCGTCGTATACGGTTGTTGTGAAGCTGGAGACGAGACTTGAAATTGCCCAAGACCTTGCGAGTTACGAGCGCGAACACGGACATAGTAGCGCGTACCTTTCGTTAGAGATGAAATGATACGTTTGTATGGAGAACTCATACCAGCAGTGAGTTGTACCAGAGCGGAGTTAGGGAATGTAAACGCTGCATCCGTAGCCCACTGCACTTCGTACCCAGTAACGGTATCTCCTCCGTTATCATCGGGTGGATTAAAGAGTACGACCAGCTCCGATACCGTTAGCACTGCCAGCGTAACTCCAGTTGGAGCTCCTGGAACCACCATAGGTTTCTCAGGAGCAACAGCCAGTTGAGGATCTCCAAAGCCGATCTGGTTGTAGGCGAATACACGCACATAGTACAGTTGTCCCTTATTCAACACACCCGAAGTGGGGATCACGTGGCTTCCAGTACAACTCGAGGGTTTGATACCAGGTCTTGACTTGGAAGGCAGAATATCGTAAGTCCCAGTACACCCAGCACCAGTACACGCTAGGTTAATATCTCTGGCAATTAGTGAGAAATCGTCCCCACCGTCTAGAAACGTGATCGTCCATGTAAACCCCCCACTAGCATCCATAGTACTTCTCGTGACCTCCACGCCACTATCAAGTTCTGAGAATCGCCCAAGTTTCGACTGCATAGACCCTGAAGTTTGCATCTGAGCGGCCGTACAGACTGTAATTCCCGTCGTACAGAAAACGCCGGACGACGAAGACGTGACTGAACTCTCTTCGTCACTCGCTTTACCGACTGCGTTCCACGGAATGGGGTCCGATACTTCCACAATATTCCTCCGTGTGAGCTCTAATCGGAAGTATCCGCCTGATATCGGATCCGTTGATGGTGCACTGGTCCTTACTGTCTGTACGAGCCAAATCGCAGGAGTAAACGCTACAGGACACCATTGATCTTGATGTCCTCTTGCTGTAAACTGCGACGACATGTCGTACTCGACTCGGTACATCCAGACGGGACTTCCACCATCACTTACAGGTGCTTCCCATCTAGCCACTAACTGAGTCGAATAGCCTGGATTAACCTCGACACTTACGTTCACAGGGGGACCAGGAACTTGCACTGGTGGCGTCACAATCATCGGTGAAGACTGCGTACGAGCACCAAGGCCTTGGGAGTTCTTCGCTGAGACTGACACTAAGTAGGAATTCCCTGGTGTAAGCCCTGGAATATTGTACGTTGTCGTACTGGCGTCCAGTGTTTCGTAGTACCCATAGTCAACGGCAGCTTCACCTGGAGTTGATAACTGAGCTATAGTTTTCGTTGGAGCAGCCTGTTGTTTTAGAGTTTTTATGGCTGCAGGCCACGAACCAGAACATCCAGTTGTACCGTCCGGTAGACACAGTAATCCAGTCGTATCCACTGCGTTGTCTCCGTCTTTAACGCCTACAAACGCTGAGGACGGACTGATTCTGGAGGAATCCACAATAAGCGGTGCCAGATTCCCCACATTTGACTCGAATGTGATCGTCCAGACTCGCCCATTCGACCATGCCGCTCCACTTAGCAACATCGTCTCTAAGTTGACTGTAACCACACCGATTGTCGGTAAAGCCTCTAACGCTAACTTTAAATCTGCAGCGCTGACAGTCGCGGATAGATAATTGGTCCAGGCAGAACCTCTGTAACTCAACCTGAAGTAGCCAGCCACTGTGCTTGTATGATACGTTACCAGAACTTGAATTTCTTGCCTTCCAGGGAAGGAATTCGATACTGGTACAGCGATACCAGACTGCACTTCGAAAACCCGCCCAACAACACCCGCACCGCCTGTAATTGTACCTTGAGAATACTGGATAAGGGGTTGATTACCTGCGTTTTTATTGGTATTAGAGAATGTCACGATCCACTGGTAACCTTGAACGATGTTTACAGCAACTCGGGATACTTCGATATGTCCAATAGGGACGTCAGTTAGAGACGCCAGACTCATTAGAGCGAAGCGAAGATTGTCCGCTGTAATATCCATAGGTAAAGCTGCCGTTGTTAACGCTCCAAACGATAGAGAAAAGGGTGCAGCAGTCGGTTGTGTCGTCCATTTCAGCTCAATTGTTTGGATCTCAGGACGAAATTCGGAACGCCACCATTCCACCCTGTAACCTGTTAACGGTAATCCACCCGTATCCACTGGTTTCTGCCACGTTATAGTAGCTGATGTAATAGGAGACGACGAGACTGTAAGTGTACTTGCTTTAACGTTCACTGAGGCGCTTGGATGCCGTGTAGGTGTTTGAGGATTTGGAGCGATTGTTGCACGACTGTATCCGATAGAGTTTACAGTTTTCACCTGAGCGAAATAGCGAGTACCAGTTACAAGTCCCGTAACCAGATATATACGGGGTCCTCCACTGTAAAGCTCCGGAATAGAGCCGCTATTAACGAGAACCTCGACAGGAGTACGCTTACCGACTGAGTCAAACGTGGATGCTGTATCCACATCAATCCAAAACGCTGTTATTCCAGTTCCACCTGTCCCTTTGCCATCTCGGATGGGTGGTTGAATCTGTAACTCTAACATAGTGGACGAGAACGGGTTAAGGTATACGGATAATGGAGGATCCGGTACCTTATCCGCCGTGGTCGCAGATAACTGGTAGCTCCATTGGCGATTGTTAGGGGGTTCTCCACTTAACGAGATCTGCTGTACAGGTACGGAATTTACCGCCGCCACTCTAACGTAGTATGTTTTACCGGATACCAGGTTCGGAATAACGTATCGGAATGGCGGTGAGCCCTGGATCGCAGAACCTGATAGTACTTGCGGTGGATACGTGTAGTAGTACAGTGGGTACGTTTGGCCATTGAAATTGGCACATCCATGACCAGATTGGACTTGAACTGACGTAGGACTCACAATATTTGCCGTCAACACGCAAGAATCATCCGCAAAAGTGAATTTTGAATTTTGTATCAGGTAATTTGAGAGAGAAATTGAGACCGACAGTGTGTTTCCATTGAGTTGAGTCGCGCAGTTGGCACAGATCTGACGGCCATGTTTAAAAGCGGCATTCACATCCCATTGCAAGATGTAGGACGAGATGTCATTGTTGAAATTTGGACTCACGTTCGTCGTTGCCAGTGGTGGTGGCGAGAAAAAGACCTCAATTTCTTTGCCAGAAATGACTGCAAGATTTACATTCGATGGCGCAACGGGGACCTGGCTTGGTGTTGCGCTTATTAAACCCTTAACCGGTGCAGCTCCCTTTCCGTTATCGTTGTAGGCATGCACCTCGATATAGTAGAGCTGCCCCATCGTAAGTTTCTTAGATGTTTGTGTTGGTAGATAGTAGCATTTATCACAGCCACTACCCGATATTCTTACTGTAGAGTCAGTAGGATGCAATCGAGGAACCTTCGCACGCAAATATCCAAGTGGTGACACCACGCTTAGCATATCCACAGTCCAAACATAACCCTTCGTCCACTCATACACCGTAACTGCAATCTCAGTCGAACCTAGATACCCTATTTCTCGACCATTGAAGTCACCAAGATACAGCCGGGTCTTGTGTAGCCCTGGAGAACTCACATCTGTACGAACAGTGTACCAGTCTCCACCAATGCGAATCTTATACCCTGGAAGTCCATACGCGGCCGAATAAAAGCTGCAAGTCTCCCCAGTACTACACGTCACGAAAATCTCTCCCTCCGTCACATCAACTTTACCAGGTAGAGACTGGTACGATAGTTCCCGCTTGACACTAACAGTTTGAATCGAGTCGAGGTCTTCAAGTGCGTACCGTAATTGATCCGCACTCGACTCGGCGTTTAGAGGGCGAGTGTATTGATTTTGGTATCCAACCTGGAAGGTTCCACTCATGGTAAGTGCGGGGTCGTCGTTATACACTCCGTCGATAGAAGTGTCCATATTGAACACAATTACAGCATCAGCTCCAGCGTCAATACCCTTATCGATAGATAGAGTAATATCTCCATATACCCTATCAAACACAATCTTGACATCTGCCGGCGTAGCAGATTTACACAGCACCAACTGCGTCGCACTCGACACACTGATACTCTCCGCTTCGACGTCGAATAGAGTCGACAAACTCGTCTCGACTGTAATCAGTGGCGCGTTAAAGTTCACGTCAGCGTTGTCCCCATTATACGTGAACCGAACCGTTCCCTGAGTCGCCGTACACGAGAAAACGACCACTTCTTTACGGAAATTCGTCTCCCCAGTGTGGATTTCTTCTACCGAAGCCACGCCATTACTCGGATTTAGTAGTGGAAGGTCACCTGGTTGTGCTGTAAATGTGATCAAGACTTCAGCTCCCACTTCCAGCACTGTCTTGGCTGAAGATACATCGACGGATCCGACACTAGAAAGAGCTTCCAGTGCCGACTTCAAGCCAGCAATCGTCGTGGCTCCTGCTGTTATCCCTGCTGCTACTGCCGTAAACGTCCCAGTGGTTGCACCACGGAACGACAAGGTAAATGTCCCCGTCGTGAGAATCTTGACCTTCTGGATTTCATCTACCGATCGGATCATGTTGTTCGACCACGCGAGACTGGAAGCGCTTGTGGTGATCCGTTGAGTTCTGTACAGTTTATCTGCGTCCGAGATGAAAACATCCGCCGGATTCGCTGTGAACTTGTCGGATGTGTCCCATCGAACCTGGTATTTAGTGATCGGACTGCCATTATCTGTCGCTGGCGGGTCGAACGAGAGCCACAACTGATCTCCAACAGCATTAGAGCCTTTTGTAACTTCCCTAATAAACACAACAGCTCCTTCCCCAGTTAATCCACTTGCATTTCCTTGAAGAAGCGGTAAATCTCCCGAATTTTGGATATTATCCAGAAATGTCACCCGCCACGAGTACCCTCCCTCTTCGTCAGGTCCCGTTCGAACAATACTCACTTTACCTACGACGTCCAGAGCTTCGAGCTTTTCCTGCATTGATGACCCATCCGGGTTCATAGCTGCCATCGCTGCCGCATTCCAGGTAATCGGAGTCGTCACTGCATTAGCGTAGGCAAGGTTAAACGTACCCCCTAGTGAATTACCCTTTCGAACTTCTCGTACAAAAATTTGACTACCCGTTCCCACCAATAAATTCGTTACGCGTAACATCGGTACGTCGCCTTTGTAGTCCAAAAAGGTGATTGTCCAAGTGTACCCAAACTGTGGAGTTGGATCGGATTGTAGCACTTGCACTGTACCAATCCGAGGCATCGCTTCTAGTGTAGATTTTAGTGTATCTGGCTTAACATTAAACGGAATCGGAGACGAAGATTCAATAAGGAAGCTGCCACTAAGCATATTCCCATCGGTTAGAGTATCTGTCTCGCAGCCGGAATCTGTAACTGTAAAGGTGCTTGGATCCACAGCGCAGATAAATTGCGGTAGATTCCCTTGAGAATCTTCGAACGCTATGGTCCAAATGTACCCACCCTGTTCGTCTGCAATTGACTGGGACACCAGAACATCCCCAAAAACAGGCAAACGGTTCAAATCGGTTGTGAGCTGAGAAGCTGTAGCAGTGGCAGCGTTGACAAACGTGTTGGCGGCATTAAATCCGCCTGAGTCTAGCATCGTTATATCTACTTTGCCATCCACACCGACAGCAGTTAGCGCATTATTTGATAGCGTCTGGAAGGGTGTACACCCCGTATCCGAACTCAACCATACCATTAAGGGCGTGTTACCGTATACACCGTTACCGTGGAAAAATACGGTGTATACGAATCCATTTAGCGCTTTATCCACATCAGTCTCTCTCGTAACATACACATTGTCAATATTTGGCATGGCTTCAAGAGTGGTTTCCATAGTCTTTGCCGATGCGTCGAATGGGATACAACCCGACATTTTATCCATCCCTAGATAGTTAAAGTGTATCTTGTAAGACCCCACCGTTAAGGGTTTCTTAGCAGATACTATAACTTGTTGAACAGCTGTATCTGTCCCCATCGCTATATCCATATTCATCGATACATCGCAGTGTACTGTAGCACCCCCAGTAGCCGTAAATGTCTTATCATCACACACAATTTTCTTCGTTTCACCCGCCACATTGTTCCCAACGAACGTGATTTGGAACACATATCCATACTGAAAATCTACTGACGCATCGCCATCTCGTGTAACCACAATATCACTTGCTCCAACCGCCCCATTAACCACTGAAGTCAACGCCGTTTTGACAGCAGAAGCCTGTGCGTTCCACGAAATCGCGCCAGTTTTCGCCCCCATACTCGTAAAAGTCCCCGTATTCCCATTCTGCACTTCTCTCTCAAACAGTAACGTAAATGTTCCGGATAAAATCGCTGCCGATGCCCAGATAGTCACGGTTTGTACTGTCGGAACGCGGAAAGCGATTCGTCCTTGTACACAGTTGCCTCCTGGACACGAGGCTGGAGGGACGAAAGTTCTTAAGGTTTGAACTTCTGCTACATGTGCAGCGCGGGTAGAAATCTCCTGGATTTCCATTACGCGAGAGGCAGCTAGACGTATTTCCTGAACTTCTCGCTCATAAAGAGCGTACGCTGCTGCGAGATTCTGGACTCCTGACACTTTACTGCTCGGTATGATTGAGGCTGAAGAACTGAACGAACCGATGCCGATATCCGTCCATGCCGCAACGTGAGAGTAATACGGGATTCCAGGGAGTAGATTAGAGATCACATAGGTATTCGACGCTGATCCTGGCACGAAATCGTCCTGGACAGTCAGCGTACCCCCTAAAAGAGCTGACGTCTGCTTACCCAACTTAGGGATGTTCCCTAACGACGACCTAAATTTGATCGTCCATAAGAACCCATTTACTTTGTAAACCTCTAATTTGTCCACCGCGGCGCTGGATAGATAACGAGAAGCTGTGGTTGAATCATCAGGTAACGCTAAAGGGATCGAGTTCGCAGTTAGCGTTGAGACTCCAGCAACTCCTTGTCGTATAGTGGATACCACAATGTTCGACTGGGCAATATGTGCACCCGTTGCCGTAACTACAGTAACTGTTGCCACGTTCCCGGTTACGGATGATCCGCTGAAATAAACATTGTAAATGAAGCCATGAGGAGCCACGTCTGCGTTTGTCCGTCTGGTAACGATAATATCGTTCGCACTCACCACAGTTGGTGTTAGCGCTAATTGAGCTGTATTCGTGAGCTCTAACTGAAGTGCAGACTCGCTAACATCCCACGGAATAGGGTTCGTGTTCGTCCCCATTATTTTCAAGGTATACGTCTCTCCAGCCACAAAATTGTTGCTTGGGTTCGATACAACAATCTGCTGGATCTCGAATTGTTCGTCCATGATACTAAACTGCTGCGAAACACTGTAAGCCACATGCAGTGAACTAGGGTTCTCTCCGTCGTAAGCGGTGGTTAACGCGAATTCACCCGAAGCACTCCCTCCATCTACTGCTCCTTCTACGATAATATTCGTCGTCGCAACCGTATTTGCACATGCCGTATCGCTATTCTGCACGACGCCAATTAGGGGAAGATTTCCCGTCACAAGCTCACCAACAAAAGTGATCCGATAAATGGCTCGGTTAGGAGAAATAAGGATATCTGAGTCGAGAGAAACAAGGATATCACCAGCAGCACTCGATGTTAGTGTCTTAATCGCATTAGCGACGTCACTTGCTGACGCTGTAAACAGCAGACAGGATGATGTTTGGCCTCCAAATGTGATAGCGTACGATCCCGTAACCGTGCTGTCCTTTATCGTCAATACCTGTACTTCATTGCTTCCTCCCAGCTCAACCATCTCCACATACGCTTTTCGAACACTACCGCCATTTTGTTGCCATCCATCCAGACACACATTATCTCCGTTATCTTTACTTTTCAACTGCATCAAATTTACAATCGGAGCGGCTTTGTAATCCATAAAGAAAATATCGTACGTGAATCCAGGAGCTCCCTGTCGCACTGTCTCCACTATCAAAGCCGGGTAGACTCCATCTTGAGCTCCACTCACGCAAGGTCCAATGCCAACATTTCCAATTACAAGCTGGGGGACATCTCCAAGAACACGACTCGTACCTCCACTAATCGGCCCTTTAAAGTGGATCAGATACTCGTATCCATAACCCCAGTCCGCTCCTCCATCTCCGGATCGAGTTACGTTAATGTGATCAATGTTATTTAGCGTACCCAAGTTGGCTAAACCATTTAGAGCGATCTGGAGACCTTCAGCAGAGATCCCGTATTTCAAACAAGATGTCGCGGAAGTCTGGCCGTTTAGAGTGAACTGCACTCTAAACAAACCGTTAACAGGTGTCACTGCCGTATTTGCAGTCATTCGAATGCGCTGGATCTCCGTTAGAGATGTCCCATTACCGCTCCGAGTTACAACCACGTTACCAGCAGATAAAGGGCTTCTCTCTAACGCTGCCTCAACGTCACTGGCTGGCGCTCCCCATTTCATACAAGCTGAGGTTTGAGAGTTGAGTGTAAGTTGATAAAAGCCTTTCGTATCCTCAACTTGACCGTAATCTGTCGCTACCATCAGTCGTTGATGCGGTATTTTACCGCCGTGAGTGACGACGCTGACAGTTACAGTAGCGTCGCCAATCCCCGCGCAAGTATCCACCTTTAAAGAGGCCACGTCTCCAGATACAGATTCTCCGGTAAAATATACGGAATACACATACCCTGTTCGAGACCCAAACGTCATAGGACCAACACGTGACACCAAGACGTCATCTGTAGTAGCAGTACTATCAAAGGCGAACATGAGACCGAATATAGCCGCCTGCACTGTCGCTGCGTCTTCGTTAAAGCGAAGACAGTTCGTAGGGGGTTTAGTGACACCGTTACGGGTCATTTCTAACTGGAAGGCGTTGGAAGCATACGCTGTTGACCATGTACCCGAAGGTTTCGTTGCAGTTAGAGTTTGGACTTCATGTCCAGTCCGTTGAACCCTGTAAACCAACCCGTCAATACGTAACTGCATTCCCGGATAGAGTAACCGCGTTGACTCCATCTTAGAACCCACCACCGGTGATCGAGCTGTAACTCTAACGCGTGACGTATCGACCACTCCCGTAAATGGAGCATCACCGTTCGTATTCGCCAAGTTATTTACCGAAGTGGATCCGAAGCGAATGATGTCAGTTGGTGCAATATATTGACGAATATCGTCAACACCGGTTATCGTCGCCGTAACCCCATCTTGAGTTAGCGTAGCAATCGCACCGGGGATCTTCTGAGTCAGTAAATACCCTTGAGTAACGTCAACTTCACCGAATAAATCCATCGCCTCGATCCCGAGTTCCATTTCTTCAGCCGAAGACGAGTAAGGAAGTGCAGGCGTTTGTCGCTCTGACGTATTCAAAGCGAACGCTCCCAGTGACGGCGTAGAACCGGGTACGTTCGTGTACACATCAACTGATACTCCACTTCCTTGCAATAAAGAGCGCGATACGGATAACGAAGCTACATCGCCGCTACCGGGAGGAAACGTGTTCCCCTTATAGTCACCGGTAGCCTGCATGAACCGAATTCTCCAGCGATAACCGCCTCGTGCCCCTGGGTTTTTAACCGGTATATCCTCCCATCCACCAGAGCACGACGAATCTGTACACCCAGTGGCTGCAGATGGATACTTGAATCGCTTTACAGTAACTCTGCCGATAGTATCCATTTCATTCAGCTTACGCTGTAAGCGATCCGGGTCTTCATCGAAGAAAATCTCTCGAGGACCAAATGAGGAAGAGTGGAAATCTAGCAAAAATGATCCGCTTAGTCCCTTAGACCCCGGGGTTACTTGAGTTACAGTCACGTCATACTTGCTTGAGGCAGCTTCGGCTGCAAAGGTAGTCGTTATATCCGGCAAATCTCCAGCTCCAGGGGGTGTAAATGTTGGATTAGAGATGAATCGGATTAACCATGACATCTCACCGTATTTACCGTGCACCGTGCGCTTAACGCTAACTTGACGTCCTGAATTGGTCGCTGCTGCTTCGAGCTGACGTTCGACGAGATTTTCGTCCGCATTCCACGGCAAAAGGATCGAAAGCCCCAACCACGTTGTGGCACCAGTGTTGCTAGTATCCATATCACTACAAGTTGTAGCAGTAACACTAACCGTTGCGGTCGAGACACCCGTAACTGTAAAAATACAGTTAGTGAACAAGCCTACCGTAATTCGGTCTTGAGGAAGAAGCTGGGTTTTCAGTAAATCCCCGTCAGCTTTGATCGTGAATGACGATACAGAACACGACGTCGCCGCGGGGGCTACTGCACCAGGAGCATTGGTACACACAACACTAACAAAATATCTCGCTGCGACACCGGCATCTCCCTGCACTCGAAAATCCGTAAAATCACCCCGTAAAATAGTGCCATCTCTAACTGTAACCACAGACGCTAAAGAACTAGTCCCTGTCAGCGACGTGCTAGCAGGAGCCATCTGCGGGACATCTCCCGGTGCATTACACAATAGTGAACCTGCCGATTCTTCCAGTTGTTCACAAGGATGAGTCGCATCGCTGGCATCTCGTAAGAAAGTCACAGTCCACGTGTACCCACCCGTATCTTTATCCACGTCACCTCTAGTAACAGCGACATCGCCCACATTGTCCATTCTCTCAAGGATTTCTTCTACTGACGTTCCTGTATGTCCACTCTGTTCCTTTGTAGCCCACGCATTATGCGCGATGTTCTCACTGGTCACAAGAGAATTTACAGCCATGTGTGTGTGCATCACAGGTCTCGAGTCAATAGATACAGTAAAAGACCCTTTAATCGGTCCGACACCAGGAGTTGACACACTTGGTACACAATTCTGGCTTCCGTCATTTGCAGTAGTTGTAAGCCCATCTGTAATGCATTTAAGGAGGAAAGTATGGCCGACATGCCGACCCCACGCTTTAGAGTATCCCGACTCCCACACGTCATCCCATGATGCTGGAGATGAGCTCTTCCAGTTGCCGTCTATCCCTTTGGAGTGATCACCAGTAGGGTCCGCCCACTTAGACGACTGAAACGTAATATACCACGTATACCCCAACACTTGCGCCAATGTGGGATTTCCTCGAGACACGAGCACACTACTGGGTTTAATTGTACCCAGCTTATTCAGCTCCGTTTGCACCTCTGAAGCTTCGGCATTAAAGGCAATAGGGGCGGTAGTTTCACCGTTAAAGCTGAGTTGAAAATTACCCCCTAACTGATTCCCCTTTACGGTTTCGTAAACCCCTAAGCGAATATTTTTTCCAGTAAGTTGAGAGGATACGATCTGGAGTAACCCAATGTCTCCTCCCGTTGAAGCGTCCGAGAAAGAAATAGTCCACGTAAATCCCCTCGCTTGGGTCGCTGCAGAACGCATAATCTCGATACTAGGGATCTTGAGATTAGCGACGATAAAGCTCTCCAGTAACGTATCCCGAACACTGGTATCCAATGATGCTAGGGACGTATCCACACCAATTGTACACGGGAGAGTTGAAGCCACATCTCGGAATTTGAGCATCAAGGTCCCCATTACTTGGTTTCCATTTCGACTATTGGCAAAAGGGTTCAAAGGATGTGTTGCATCTTCCACATCAGCGGTAGGTGCACCATTCGTTGGAGTTGTAAGTGTAGTAGTAGCCCCAACGACAGTTCTCGTCACCATCTTAGGGATATCCCCTCCACGACTTGTAAACGTAATTTGCCAGGTGAATCCGCCGGACCATTTATTTCCCGTAGGGGAATACACCGTCCTCTTTACAGTGACAGTTCCAAAAACCTTTTTAAAGTTTTGAGTTACAGTTTCCAGAATATTTTTCAGATCCGTTTCGGAAACATCCCAAGGAATATCCCCGGTGTACACTGGGGTTGGAACCACTAGCGTTTGCGTAGCATCGGCCTCACTGATCAAGCCAATCTGGAACGTGCCAATGATCATACTTCCCGTAACCGTAGGAGTAACCGTACACGTCGCAGTTCCTGCTGCTGTGCACAGCAACAGAGGTACCGTACCAGATCGTTTCCGAAACGTTAAAGTATACACGGATCCAACAAAGCTAGCGTCAACAAACTCGGAGCGAGCCACCGTAACTGAGTCAATGGCACCAGTTAATAAACCTTCCACAACACTGGCACTGGAGATCGTCGTCGCTGTCGTTTTTAGCGGGATATCTCTTGAAATCTGCGGGGTTTTGTACAAATCCAAAGTCTTTCCGGAAAACTCACTGCAATATAACCCAACGTCGTTCGTAGCAACAGCTATAGTGGTCAAAGTGGCCGTCTTGGTTACAGTTCCCGCTTCAAAGGAGCATACACCCGCTATAAGCTTCGCTCCTGTAGCCACATATGCGTTCGCTCTTAAATCTAGAGCCACCGTAAAGATACCGCCAAGGAATGTTGTCACACAGCCAGCGCAGATACGAGCTGAAGCGCCTGGAGTGCATGCAGTACTGAACGTTGTAATAGCGTACGGATCCGAATACGACTCGCACGTATACGTAACTGTAAAAATAGCGTTTGAAGCGTAATCCACTTCACTCCCAGCTGTAACCTGTGTAGCTTGTGTAGGAATATCAGATACAGCATTTCCTCCGACCGTCACAGCAGCGTCAATTCCAATGGCAGGCACGTTACCTCCAACCTCCATACCAGAGAAAGTTACAGTATACACGTACGTAAGGTCTGGTCCTGTCGGATTCTGGGTTCGCGTGACGTCCACCGTATCAATGTTAGCGAGGTCAATTAGAGCGTTCTTTACAGTTAGAGCTGCGCTGGATGCTGTATTATCCTGAAGCGACGATACCAAGTTGATCGTTCGCTGGTACATTTTCTTCACACAGTGCGTACAGATACTGCTATCAAACGAGAAGTAAATCGTGCCTCCAATACTCGTAGCGGGGGTTGCAAACGCTCCAGGTAGGGTTAACGTAATGGTTTGCACTTCACTTGTACGAGCCACACCGACTTTTAGAGTTTGAACTTGAAGAACCTCGGCAACTGACGTCCTAATCGCTTGAATCTCATCCACATCGTCACCATCTAACCGTAATTCCTGCACTTCGTTACGGTCCGTTGCTGAAGTCACCACAGTCTGAACCTCGTCCACTACTACGCTATTCGTTGTCGTAATCACCTGAACTTCATCCACGCCCGTAAACGTCGTGCGTACCACTTGCTCTTCGTTTGTCACTTTAACTGTAGCATCCACGAACTGCTCCTCGTTCACAACATCATTCTGCAACGTAATGGACTGCATCTCTCGGATAATCGGGACTGTAGCGCTGGAGCTCTGTCCACTGGAAAAATCATTCTGTTCGTCCCATTCGATTTCGTAAGACTTGAGACTCTCACCGCCATCATATGATGGGTTATTCCACTCCGCTTTAACGGATGTTGAGCTCATTACAGACAGCTTTAAGTTCTGCGGTGAGCTAGGCGGTTGATCTGTAACTGTAACAGAAGCTGGCGTGGTAGAGCGAGGGGCGCCAGCACCTTTAGCGTTAAATGCTGTAACTCGAATACTGTAAGAAGAACCGGCGATCAGTTTATCCGACCGAATACCAGTGATGGCATCATCTCCTCCGATAATGTACGAACGCTTCGTTCCATCCACAAGACCAAGCGCTGGAGGGGAATCAAACCCAGGAGAATGATCCCACTCGACCATATACTGAGTAATAGGGAGTCCCCCATCTCCACCGTAATACGGCTTTTCGGTAGAAGACGGCTTCCACTCAACCAAGATAGCGTAACTTGACAACACCTTCGCAGTCACTTCCTCAGGCCGTCCAGGTATACGATCCATAGGCGTGATACTACTTGGACTTGACACTGCGAAAGCTCCATTCCCTTGATTATTCACTGCGAATACACGGACGTAGTATTTCGCCGCAGAAATGACTGGGATATTGTAGTAGAACGGAGCTGTATTCGTCGGTGATACTGGATAATCTACCTTCATGGGGTTCTTGAAATCCGCAGAGGTATCCCACTGAACTTGATACATCGTAATGGTGGCTCCGCCATTACTTATAGGAACGTTCCACCGAAGCTTTAACAGTCTGCTGGATAGCGTTAGTAATTCCACAGCTTGTGGGGCAGAAGGAGTGGTCCGTGGAATTTGAAATGTAGGGCTGATACTTCCAGCGTAGCCATATCGTTCGCTATTGTGAGCTCGTACACGAATAGCGTACTTTTCACCAGTTTTTAGTCCCGGGATAACGTAGCGTAGCTGTCCCGGCACTCCGATTTCAACAGGGACATCTGTAGCTCCGTTTCGTTCGCAGTACCAAGAAGGCTGAACACCATTTAGCGTTCGTGCGGCAAGTATTTTTGCCCCGGGGCCTTGTAGTTCTGTTCCATCGACACTTAGCAGCGAGATATCGTTCTTAAACTCCGATACAAACGTAACTACCCAGTTGTATCCGTAACCATTCGCCGATCTGGTTACGTTCACAGCGCCAATCGTAACCAAACTCTCTAACGCAGTCTGCATATCGACTGCTGAAATATTGTGAGGTAAAGGCGGCGTAGAATCCGACAGTCCTCCACTAGCAAAGGCGACTATAAACGTCCCACTAATCGGCTGAAGACCTTTTTGAACCGAGTTTACAACGATACCGGGATTATTTCCGGTCCAACTGTCACTCGGGTATACCTGGATGAGGTCTTGTGGTCCCACATGACCTGCTAAGAAGGTGATTTTCCACTCGTAACCGTACGCACTCTTAAATACGGGTACTGGAACCGTAATTTCGAGAGCTGTATCGATCGTTAGGGTAGTATCCGTAACACTAACTGGAGCACTAATTGTTCGCTTATTCCCAGCAATCCAAATCACATCCCCTTGAGCAAGGTTTGCACCCCCTATCGTGGATGTAGACGACCCATGAACTGTGACGGTGGTTGACGTAGCAGTCACAAGTAAGCCTCCGGTAACCCGCGTCGATTCTGCTTTAGAGACATCTACACTTCCAACTGTAGATAAACGCTCTAATCGCTCCTTAACCGAATTTAAGCCAATAGCAGCGGCATCCCATCGGATGTTTTCAGTCACTTCACCTCCAAAAGCCAGCTTGAAATACCCATTTAGAGTTTGGGAATCTGCAAAGTTCACTAACCTCTGAACCTCTGGAATCCCTTTACCCGCTGACGTTGTAATGGTTTGTTGTTCTTGTGTTCCTTCCGTTCGATACCATTCAACCTTGTACTTATCCACACTGCACAGCTCGCTTACAGTACTCGCGCTCCAATCCACCTGTAATGTCGTTCCATCCACTACACTGGCTGTAACAGACTTAGGTGCTGGGGGTTGACTGCACGTTACTGCACTGGCGAGTGGTGAATTGGCAGACCCAAAGCCGTCGGCGTTGTACGCCATCACGTGTGCGTAGTACCTTATACCGGGTCGAAGTCCTGTGATCGTAAAGCGGAAAGGGTCCGACCCCGTAACTCTATTCGCAACATGCACTATTGCATTGGTTCCCGTAAGCTGCGAACTTGCAACCGTCATAGTGAAAATATTCCCTGCTCCGACCATTTCTTCCCCTCGAAGGTACGCAAAAGTGACGGACCAAACTGCAGTGTTAAGCGCCGCGTTCCGTACTGTCTTCGTGACCTTGATAGAGTATGACGTAGTGGTCGCCTGTAACGCAGCTTGCATCTCCAACGCCGATGCGCTAACCAAGATGGCTCCCGTATTTTTCCCGTTAAAAGTCAACGTAAACGAACCCGTAATTGGATACACTCCATCGGTGTACACGTCCTGGACTTCGTGGGTAAAATCTCCAGTCGCCAGATCACTGAAGCCGTGAATAAGTTCGTCAACTCTAATACGAGGAGAATCGCCCGTTAACTGCCTGCCATCAGCAACGAGTGGCGCTAAATCGCCCCAATTGTGCAGAAACGTAATCTTCCACGTATACCCTAACGCCAATTTGTTTCGAGTCACCATTACAGGATCGACAGCGACATTTACAGTATCCGTAATGATAGCGAGTGCGTCGATCATCTCTGCTTCCGAACAATCAAACGGCAACGCGGAGGTCTTACCGCCGCCCCAAGAAAGTGTAAACGTTCCTCCCGCACCTGCAGAGCGATAACTTGTAGTAACCTGCTGTATCTCGTATGTTTCTTGAATACTTGCCACACCGTAATCACTACTGGAACTGTCAAAATTCGGTGAGGAATCCCATTCGATACGGTACATGGTCACTTTCGCACCACCAGAACAAAACGGAGCCCAGTAGTTGATCGACAGCCACGTGGGCCCATGGAATTCACCCAGCGCTACACCTGTGGGTGGGGAGGGGACAACGGAACTTGCTGATGTCTGAGCCTCGAACACTGATACGGAGTCGCTGATACCTCTGGAGTTCAGAACGAAGATACGGAAGGCGTACGCTTGACTGCTTTCTAGAATCAGATTGTCTTGTTTGGTCACTGCGACGGCGTTATTGCCTTGAACATACGCGTTGAGGTTGGGTGTGGCAGGAGTGACGACAAGTAGCGGTAGTTTCTTCATCGGATACATCCCCCAAAAAGATACGGTGTGGATTACAGTGCCACCATTTACA